CCGATCTGGTGAAGATGGCGGGGGGGTCGGGGGGAGCTGACCCCTCACCCCTGGCACCCCCCTCCCTGTGCCCCCCTGCCGGCCCCACTCACTCGCAGAAGGTCAGGTCGCTGTTGTGGCCCCGCAGCGACGCGCCCCTCCGTTTGGCGGGGGACAGCCCCTCGCCCGCGTAGCGGGGTACGGGCAGCCCCTCGCGGCGGCGCGAGGCCGGACGGCGCCGTGGACCCTCCTCCTCCTCCCGGAGACTCCCCGCGAAGAGACGCCCCCGTTTCCGCTTCTTGCCTCGCCGGGGCGAGACGGGGTCCCGGTACTGCCCTGCCTGCGGGGAGGGGATGGGGGGGTCACCGCCGGAGCCCGGGGCCACCACCATTGTCCCTGGTGTGTGTGGGGGCTGCGCGGTGGGTTACGTACCCGGGAGACGCAGACGGAGCAGAACCAGTCGCCCTCGGGCACCTCCGTCATCTTGGGCCGGTGGCAGTAGAGGTGGCAGCCGCGGTCGCAGCCGTCACACAGCAGCAAGTGCTCGTCGTCGTCCCCGCGCCGACACACCAGGCAGGTCTGCGGGGAGAGAGGGGGGGGGGGGCTCAGCCGCGCCGCTGCGGGGGTCCCCACCACCCCGGGGTGCCCAGTGGAGGAGGGGGGGCTCTGTCCCTCCCTCCCTGCGTCGCGGCGCGGGGTCTCACCACTCTGTTGACCGACTTCTCCCAGGCGATGGATTTCTCCAGCTGGTAGATGCAGAGGGAGACCTGGGCCGCGCTCCGGCACCGCTCCAGCGTCTGCCGCCACGTCCGCACGCGGGGCGTGATCTCGTAGGCTCTGCACCATGGTGGGGGGGTGTGAGATGCTCATCCAAAGCCCCAGCCTCCCGGTGGCGCGGGCAGAGTGAGGGGGGGACACGGGACTCACATCTCGGTGGGGCCAAGGCTCAGCTCCTCGGGGCTGCTCAGCACGGCCTTTTCCACCACCACCTCGTGCAGGGGCCAGAGCGGTTCCTTCAGGTAGCGCCGCTCCACGTTCTGCTCCAGCGCCGCCAGCCGCAGCACCGCCAGGTCCAGCGGGTTGGTGCGCTCCCGGCACAGCGGCAACCCGTCCCGCCGGCTGCGGACCGTGATGTCTTCCAGAGGCTCCACTTTGTGCTCACAGTACTGCAGGTCCTCCCGCGTGGAGTCGGGGCTGGGGCACGTCCAGCCCTGCGGGATAGATGGGTTCAGGGCGGGCGCCCAGCAGAGGCCACCCCATAGAGTCATAGAATCATAGAATTGCCCAGGCCAAAAGGGACCCCCAAAGGGCATCTCGTCCCACCCCCCCGCAGTCAGCAGGGACACCCCCAACTAGACCAGGTTGCCCCATCGAGCCTCCCCTTGAATATCTCCAGGGAAGGGGCCTCAACCACCTCCCTGGGCAACCTGTCCCAGTGCTCCACCACCCTCCCAGTGAAGAACCCTCTCCTCATCTCCAGTCTCAATCTGTTCCCCTCCAGCTTGAAGCCATTGCCCCTCGTCCTGTCACTGCAGCCCTTTCTAAACAGGCTCTCCCCAGCCTTCCTGTAGCCCCCCCTCAGGTACTGGAAGGCTGCTATTAGGTCTCCCCGGAGCCTCCTCTTCTCCAGGCTGAACAACCCCAGCTCCCTCAGCCTGTCCTCGCAGCAGAGGTGCTCCATCCCCCTGAGCATCCTTGTGGCCGGTACCACCCCAAACCCTCCCCAGGCCACCTTCTGCCATTGTTCCTGCTTCTTCTTCTGGTCTCTGCTTCTTCCACGATCCTGTTAACCCCTTGTTCTCCCACACCTGACCCCTTCCCCACGGCAGTTCCAGGAGTCAGCACCGTGCCAGTTTGAGAAGGAGGATTCGGTGGACGTGCAGCAGTTTTATGACCTGCTCACTGGCTCCATGGACGTCATCCGCAAGTGGGCTGAGAAGATCCAGGGCTTTGCTGAGCTGCCCAAGGAGGACCAGGACCCCCCAGCACGGACCCTTGAGGAACACCACTTGTGACTGGTTTCCATCTGGACGTTGAGCCTTTGAGTACCCCATGGTGGCACCCGGCCCGGCACCTACCCGGATCTGCAGGTCGGCCATCAGCACGCGCTGCTCCAGCTCCTCCACCCACTGCAGCACGGCCAGGTCGGTCTCGTAGGCTCTCTCCATCACCGACCACTGGGCCAGGGCTTCCTGAGACACGGCGGCACCGGCCGCCTCGGGGCGCAGGTGGAAGATGGGGTCTGGGGGGGCAGAGGGTGGGCTCAGTGTGTGTGGGGGGGGAAGATGGGGCAGCAACCCCCCATCCTGGCCCCACGGGTGCCCCTTACCGGTGGTGGCACGCTGGCAGACCTCCCGCAGGAACTCCTTGTGCTTGGTGAGGTGCTTGTGCAGCGCCTTCTCCCGGATGCCCCGCGGGTGCAGCGCTCGAGCCACCGCCTCCAGCTCCTCGGGGTCCTGCAGCCACCACCAGCCGCTCTGCATCTCTGCAAGGCAGCGCCGCCGCGCTCAGCACCCCGCCGGGGGCACCCGCACCCCCTATCCCCTGGGGGGGTGGGGGGTGGGGTGTCCCGGGGCCAGGCTGGGCTCTCACCAGGGGGAACGGGCTGCTCCGTCAGCTGAGTCAAGTACTTCTGCTCGATCTGCTTGAAGAATTTGGTAGGGGGTCGCCCTCGGCGTTTGGGCTGCCCCGACAGGTCCTGGAGCTTCTCCAGGCTGCCCCTGCTCCTGGGGCAGGCGCCGTGGGCCCTGGTGCCGGCGTGCACGGGGGTGGAAGCGAGCAGGGGAGCCCCGGCATCATCGGCGGGGAGGCCGTTCAGCTGGTGGGGATGGAGAGCGTCAAGAAGGGCCAAGCACACACCCAACCCTCAGCCCCTGACCCCGTAGCCCCTCACAGCCCCCTGGTCCTGTGGCTGTTTCACTTCCCAAGGCTCAGTCTGGAGGGTTGGGGGCCGCAGGAGCGAGCTCCTGGCATGCAGCCCCCAGCCCCGGGGTGGCCCTGGCAGAGGGTCCCACCCTGCTCCCCCCAGTTCCCCCACTGCGGTCCCTGCAGGCTGGGGACAGCCCCCCCCCCAGCCCTGGCCGGGCCCGAGCACGTACCTGCCTGGCTGAGCCCTTGGGCAAGTCGCCGCAGGGCTGGGCACGGGGCTGGCTGCGGGGCTGCGCGGGGGCTCGCGGCGAGGGCTCGGCGGAGGAGGTAGCGAGGGGGGTTCGGTCGTCGCAGGGTGTCCGGGGCAGCAGGTTGAACCAGGGCCCCTGCTTTTCTGCAGCCTCTGGGGCACCCTCCTCCTCCTCCTCTTCCTCCTCCGCGGGGTCCGAGGTGGTCTCCAGCGGTGGGAGCCCCGTGTCCCCCTTGCCGGGGCTGCTGTCCGGGGTGAGGACGGAGTCCTTGAGCAGGGATGACTGGGTCTGGCTCAGCCAGGAGAGGAAGGCAGACTGGCTGAGGTCGTGCTGGCTCTGCCCCAGGGGCACCGGCTCCTCCAGGACCCCGTTGACAGGGGGGGGGGGCTGGGCCCACAGTGCTGCGACAGCTCCTCTTTGCTCTTCCGGGGCCGGCCACGGGAGCGTGAGGCCGAGCAGTTTGTCCGGTTGGGAATGGGCACCTCCACCGGTTCCTCCTTCACCGGGGAGACGTGGGGGGACGCCTTCTCCTCTGGGGGCTCCTGGGGCACCGGCTCGGCTGCTGCAAGGGTGGGAGGAGGAGGAGGAGGAGATGAGACGCAGGCTCCTCTCTTGGCTGGGGGGTCCTCTCCTGGCTGGGGGGTCCTCCCCTGGCTGGGGGGGTCCCTCTCCTGGCTGGGGGGGTCCTCTCCCGGGGAGCCCCTTCCCCGCTCACCCTCTGCGCCCTCCACGAAGATGCCCCCCAGGTGGGGCAGGACCCAGTACCGCCGCCGGTACCGGTCCTGGCCCAGAGAAGCCGCTCGCAGCGTCTGTGAGGAATGGAGCAGCTTCTTGCGGAAGAACATCTGCCTCTGTGGGGAGAGCGTGGGGTGGTGAGGGGTCTCCCTGGGGTTGGGGGGGGAATCAAACCCCCAGACCCCCACCACCCACTCACCTTGGCCAGCTTCTCGATCTGCCTCTCCAGCTCGGGGACGCTGGACGCAGACGTGTCGGCCTGGAGAGGGGAGGGGACCCATCAGGGAAGCACAGGTGGCAAAGAGACCCCCCAAGGGTGGTGTCCCCACCTCTGTCCCCCTCCCCATGAGCTGCAGACCCCACGGCCAACCCCACCTCCTCCTCCCTGCGGGATTTCCGCCCGCGGCTCTCCTCCTCTTCCTCCATCTCCAGGCCCGTCTCCTCCGTCAGGCGGGAGCTGCGTCGGCGCCGTCCGTCCTCCAGCCCCGTGATCTCCGACTCCGGACGACCCGTCTTCTTGGCCAGGGCAACCTTCAACCTGCCCAGACACAGCAGAGGCGTCCACTGCCTGCCCCACTGCCTGCCCCACTGCCTGCCCCACACACACCCTGCTCGTGGGCTTGCCAAGGCACGCGGTTACACCGCAGCACCAGGAAAAGTCACCCTGAGACCCCCCCCCC